CACACTTGCTCTCAGAATCAAGTCTGATCGTTATGTGTGGGCGATCGTTGACAACTAATAAATCTGCAACATCCAACCAATAGAGCCAATGCCACTATTGTTATGATCTTCCCCCTTCACCCATGTTTGGAAGTTCACATATCCCCTGCTCTTTGGCTTACCTATTGGAAACATTACACCTGTATATAAAACTTCACATTTAGATATGCTATATAAGAAGCAACATCAAGATTCAAAAGTCATGCTTGATTTGTAAGAAACCATCCACCTTCACTTACAATTTAGAAAATATTGCAGTCCACCTAATTATCTTGGTTGAAGAAGAGCTCACTCGTTTCAGATTCAAGAACTGCTATTGCTAGCCGCTGCTCTTGCTTCCCTTCACAATCTAAGGATGTAGTCATTAGCATCAAAAGCTTGCATATCAAATTCTATAGGAACATACAATATGATGCAATGAACCATTGAAAAATATAAAAATCAACATTGGTATCCAAAATGGGCCTAGCTCTCCATCTGAAACCAACCTTAAAGAGCAAAGAAACAATTTTCAACATCGAGATCTCAGCAATTGATTAGTTAAAGACTGAAGAACATTAGAAGTACAGAATCTCAGTAATTCAATTAAAAGATTTCAAAAAGCTCACAACGCAAACATGACCACTGGATTTTCCACGCTGTCTTAATATATTATCAGGAATAGGTACTTAGCAAGGTTCACAAAGAAAGAATATAGGGCAAGAACGAAATCTGCTACTTACATAATGTAACACTAAACCTCTTTTGTATGGATATATAGTAGCGAGCTACCGCATGAAAATAAAGTGCAAGCCAAACAACGGTTTATGCAAATCTCCGTCACTACAACAACACATCCACCAAGTTTAAAAAAGGTTCCCAACTCACCTCCACAACAAACTAAAAGGAAATAATGGATTCACACACCTTCAAAGTAGGCCTTTCTGAAAAGAAAATCTAAATCGAATTAGAACACAATTTACAAAATTAAGGTAACTGGGAGAAAGATATGAAAAAATTCCTTAAATTGTCATAAAATTTGTACTCTTAATGACAAGAGAAAAAAGAAAAGAAGATGTGAATAAGACTAATTGGAAGGATAGAACTACATTTGCTTTAAATAAAATTAGCTAGTTGAGGCTGCAAGAACAACATATGAAGCTAGCATGGCTCTAGCAACTACCAAAGTACATTTTAGGCAAGCACGCGTAGGGAGCTACATACCATTTAATCGCAGACCTGCACGTCTCTTTGCATTCTTGGCTATTTGTGTACCTCCCATTTGTCCCGATGGTCTTCTGCATGCTGCAAGGGTCACCGTGCTTGGGGCATGTTGGCGCGTTTGCCATTAGCTGTTGATCCTCCTACACCACATCTCCAATCGTTATTAAAAAAGAGCAATGATTGAAGTTCGACTGAGTCAAGGAGTGACCTCACTCTTATGGAATCAATCAAAAGATATGATCGCTCTTTGCAGATACAAATAACATCTTTATGCATTGTACAATTGTTTTCCTACAAGTACTCATGGGAGTTAAACTATGCATCCATGCACCATATCTTTGCAGCATTGTGACAACAGGTGGCACCTTTAGTGTGAAAACATATGCATTATATGGTATGCCAATTTTATAACATGACAAAATCAATGCAGAAAATGAACAATCCCTATAATTAAACCGAATCTAAATGAATTTGTTCAGACTCTAGATAAATTTTCTTGACAATCTATTCCAAATGTGTAGTGAACGTCCTAATTCAAGTTCTTCAGAAAATCCTCAAGCCAGTTACACACGTCGCCATCTTGTGCACCACCTTCTTCTTCCTGAACCAAAACCAAAGGCGGCACATTAGAACGGTAAATCCCAAGCTTTCATAGATCACACGCCCCAATTGAGGACAAGACCTACCGGTTTAATCAGTTTCAGTTGGTCATGATGATAAACAAATTAACTCCCTTGAAGCAAAAAAAAAAAGGATTACATATAGTATGACCAATCAGAATGTTTGAAAATGCAAAGGCCCAGTAAACCGGGGCATGCTCACACTGAAAAGGATCTGCGCTTGGTTGGTTATTCATCTGCGACGAAAATATGAATTGGTTTGTTACAAATTATGTGAAAATACACATGCAAAAATCCTGAAGAAAATGCAAAGGCCCAGTATAACACATCATTTCAACATGAGAAGAAGTACACACACAGTGCTCATATGATGGACATGAGAATAACCATACACAGAATCCAGTTTCTAAATTATTTTTCTTGCCCTATCCATGGCTGTAGAAAGAGCAGATTGGGTAGATGTTTGGATATGCCCCACTGGTTATTGTATAGGTGTAGTAGATAAGTTGCTCCTTCATGGTATTGCTTGTGCTTGCAGACCTTGTGGCCTACCCCAACTTTACACACTCAGGTCAAAGAAGCATATGTACGACATTTATATGTCGAACCTGCAGACGAAAGGTTAAGATGCAAATTTCTGCCATACTTCTTTGTTGGGTTATCAATCAATGACAGACGACATAAGGTTAATAGGCTCACATATCCTTGCTAGGGAAAAAGTGGTATCATACAGGAATATGCAATAAGTTAGAGAAGACTAACAGCTTAAGAGTACATATAGCTTGCACATGCATGGAGTTACCCTCAGCAGCAAGAACGAAGATAGCACATAATTGCATGATGAACAGAAGCCAGGCCCATCTACTTCGAATCATTGCCTGCAGGAAATGTCATGACAAAATCCATTCACTGAACAAATAACTGAATTGCGCAAATTCCTGTTAAGTGAAAAATACAAATTTCCAGGTTTATCAATTCACTAAGTTGGAAGGCATTACAAGCCCTACACCGCCCTAAACAATTTACTAAGTACATTATAGCTTCAATGCATTGGATAGCAAAACAATTTACTTGCTTGGCTGAAACGACGCCTTTTAACTCTCACGCCCACTTATGGCGACAGAAGAAAAAAACCACAATAATTTAAGCGAAAGGGAGCGAGGGAGATAACCTTGAAGAAGTTGACGCCGACGTGACCAGGAGGATGAATCAAGCAGATCGAGGGAGCAGACCTCCAGCGCATCACGGCGGATCAGCTCCAGACATATGGCAACGCCGGCGAAGCCCTGCCCGCTAGTCATCATAAACCACACTTCCTCGATCCCCACGTTCTCGCTCAGATGCATCTCGTCATCGCGAACCAGACTTCCTCGATCCCCTTGTTCTCGCTCAGATGCATCTCGGCTGCAGCTTCGGGCATGGGGCTATGGGGCGGGCGGCGGCTCACAGCAACCGTAGCGGGGCTCGGCCAGCGACGCGGCGTGGCCGTCGAGGAGAAGAGGGAAAGAGGGGTCCGTCGCGTGGGGCATCGGCGGCAGCGAAGGCGGGAAGGACGTCCATGGGGAGAGGGGAGCACGGCGGTGGGAAGGGAGACGGGGCGCAGTCGGGGCAGGGGATGACGATTCCGATTTGTTGGGGCTGAGAAGCGTGATGTGCGGCGGCCTCTTTGCCTCATGAGGTGGAGCGTGGGAGGGGCAGGCCCTGTGCCGCGTAGTCTGCCTGGCAGAACATTTAATCTGATCCGTTAGTTTGTATAGCATATCATTAATGTAATATGGATTGTTGGATGTTATTTAGTCTGATTGATCTAACGTCTCTGGTACTTCTGTGTACATTTTGCTGTGTGGCTGTAGGGTGGCTTAAGTTTGCTCTTTTAATAGTAGTATAGATATAGATGAACCCTAACAAGGGCCAACCAGCGCACACTTTCCTGTATCTTGGGATCATCCTCATCAATCTCCACATCGATGAACTCTTCATCATTGAGATCCAGTTGGTTGAAGAAGTCTCCGAGATCCGATCTTGCAGCCGCGTCAAAGTCGCCGCCGCTCGTACCTGAGTTGGCATCTGAAGGAGACGCCATCGTCTGCCACCGTTCCCGTCGCTCGCACCGCGCAGCCGATGTCGTGCGTAGGCCAGAGGTAGATCGTAAAACACGATCAGGGCAGCCGGGATCCAATTGTATGCGGGTATAGACTCAAAGGCGACAAGAAATCGCCTAGGAGGAGGAAAACCCTAGACCGAAGGCCTAGGGGAGGTATTGATTGTATCTATCTATCTATCTATCTAAAGTTACGTAAAGCGCGCGCATTTCGTCCGTCTACGTACACAGCACTCGCGCTCCCGAACCGACACTGAATCAGCAAAACGAAGACCGGGAGATAGATAGTGCGTGTCTGCATATACTCACTCACCCTGCTCTCCAAAGCGCGCCAAATAATTAAGCAGCAGCGGTATAGTACGTGGCCGCGAGCTTCTGGTGTACCAACCAAACCCCCGAAATACATCCATCCGAACAAGCGAAACGCGCGCTCCTTTTTCTCCTACCACTTTCCTTAGCAGTATCATTCTTCCCCCAGCTTTGCCTTTCGCCTTTCTTAGGCTGGTCATAGTGGAGAGTAACTTAGACTAGTAACATATGTGTTACTAGTCTATGTTACTACCTTCATAGTGGGTAGTGTCATAGGTGTGGTAACATAGTTGCCTTCATTTATTACTTTGTAGACTCATTATGCATTGAAAATCGCTATGTGATGGTAACATATTATGTTACTCTATTTGCCTCTCTCCTCATTAACTACTTGCCACATTACCAATTTTGCTTATGTGGCATCTATGTTACTACCTATGTTACTCCTACTATGACCAGCCTTATGCTGACTGACTGATCGTTCATAAACAACAACGCGCCGCCCCGCCGATCGACACCGACCGATAATCAATCACGTCCCTCAAGGAAGCCTTCTACTAGCACACAATACCACACCTATATATCGCGATCCTTACTTAGCTTAGCTCAACTTCCCGAGCTCCGCATCCTCTCCAGTGTGTGCTCGCCGCTCATAGCCAGGCTCACTCTCACTCCCACCTCCATCCACCCCTCCACGGCAGCTCCTGCTCGCGAAGCGAACGCGGGCAATGGGGATGGCGTGGTCGCGCCAGCAGGGGGACGCGGCCCGCCCGGCGGCGCGGGAGCACACGAGGCGGTGCAGGGAGCGGCGCCGGCTCATGCGGGAGGCGGTGCGGGCGCGGCGCCAGCTCGCGGCCTCGCACGCCGGCTACCTCGGCTCGCTCGGCCTCGTGGCGTCCGCGCTCACCCACTTCGCGCTCGGCGAGCCGCTCCCGGTGTCCGACCACACCCCGCCCGCCGTGCTCGTGCACCGCCCGGCGCCCGCCCCCTCCACGCCGCCGCCGCTCCTCCGCTCCATCCAGCCGGCGCAGCAGGACGGCGCTGCCGCTGCCGCTGCCGAGGCGCCTCCCGCCGCCGCGCGGACGGAGGGCGGCGTCGTTGGCGGGGAGGACCTGCGGGTGGCCGTGAGGCACCGGAGCCTCGCGGAGGTCGCCGCGGGGCTGGAGGAGTACTTCCTCAGGGCTACCGCCGCCGGCGACCCGGTGTCGAAACTCCTCGAGGCCGGCAACGCCGAGTACAGTGGTGAACCACCCTGCTGCCTGAGTGTCTCGCAAACCTCCACTTGCCAGCGTCGCACGTGTGAGACATTCGAAGCTGACATTTAACAGAGTGCATGTGAAATATTCTGCAGGTGGAGCGAGCAGCTTCTTTGGCGTGCTTTGCTGCATGTCGTCGTCGTCGTCGCCGTCAGTTTCGCACGACGGGGTCGACGGCATGCACGACCGGATCGGCAAGCGGCATAGCTCCACACTGCAGCAGCTCATGGTCTGGGAGAAGAAGCTGTACAAGGAGGTGAAGGCGAGGGAGCGGCTGCAGGTCCGCCACGACAAGAAGCTGGCGGCGCTCCGGGACCAGGAGTACAGCAGGAAGATCAACGTGGACATCCAGAAGCTCAAGGGCGCGTGGGACAGGGCGCGCGCGCAGCTCGCCACGGCGTCCGAGGCCGCGCACGCCGGCTCCGCGGCCATCTCCGAGCTCCGGGACACCCACCTCGCGCGCCAGGTGCTGGGGCTCTGCCACGCCACGCGCGACATGTGGAAGGCCATGCGCCAGCACCACGAGGCGCAGTGCCTGATAGCGCAGCAGCTGCGCGGGCTCAGCGGCCGGACGTCCATGGACGCGACCACGGAGATCCAGCACGGGGCGACGCGGGCGCTGGAGGCCGCCATGTCGGCCTGGTGCGCCGCGCTGGGCCACCTGGCCAAGCACCAGCGCGACTACGTCGCCGCCCTGCACGGCTGGCTCAAGCTGACGTTGGCGCCGTCCGCGGACGGCGCCCCGGCCTCCCCCGTCGCCGCGGAGCTCGCCGCCTTCGTCGACCGGTGGAGGCAGGCGCTGGACGGCGTGCACTGCGCCGAGGTGCTCAAGTCCATCAAGAACTTCGCCGGTGCCACCCACGCGCTGTACGCGCACCAGGGCGACGAGCTCCGGGCGGCGCGCCGGGTGGCGCAGTGCACCCGCGAGCTGGACCGCAAGTCCCGGATGCTGCGGCAGGTGGAGAAGAGCCACTACGACTCGTACGCGCCGGCGGGGCTCGCGCTGTGGAACCGGGGGCGGCACTGGATGGAGCACGACATGCGGCAGGTGCACCACGCGCACAACGAGGTGGTGCAGCGCAAGGAGGAGATCGACGCGTGCCGGAGGAAGCTCGAGGGCGAGATGAAGAGGCACGCCATGGCCATCGACGCCACCAGGTCCTCGGCGGTCGCCGGCGTGCAGAGGACGCTGCCGGCGGTGTTCCAGGCCATGGCCACCTTCTCGGCGTCGCTTGCCACCGCTCTCGACGCGGTGTGCAGACACGGCAGCGACGTGCAGTAGTCGCATACAGTACATACTACGTTTGTTTTGGAGATATTTCCTTTCTACACACTGTATAAGATTTTAGTTCTTGTAGGGTTTTGAAATATGAAAGAAATGCGAGAGCAAAACAGAGATAACCGAGTTGTGACTTCTTTTTCATGACTGTTTCAGCTGGATTTTATGGCATAACTATAAATTGTGTATTTGAATAGAAATGCATTCCCTCATCTTGCGTCTAAAGCTGCCGTCGGTTTGATAGGAATAAGAACGATAAAAGGCACCAAAAGTATATAGTAGACATTTTTCAATCCAGCAACTAATACTCCTTTTTTATTTCTGATACAAAAGCCAGAAGACAAAGACATAACTTCTGCACAAAGAGCACAGTTTACTTTTAGGCAACAAGTCTCTGTTTTTCCGACGGGCTATGCTGACTATCAGGCACCAGCCCATGAGAATGGAAAAGACCAAGCCTATCCATTCCACCTTACATCACCGATTCACTGTTTTGAAAGAACCATGACGTTGAAGTTCAACGAGTTAGGGTTCGTCGCAATTCTGGCCTTGATGACTTTTGCAGCATCCTGAGAACAGATTTTACAAAAAAATCCACGGTTATTAAGTTCAAATATAGAGGGAATCAACCAAATCCAGAAATTAAAACTACTATACAATGAAGGCATCAGAAAAGATGAGGAAATGTTTGCTGAAAACCAAGTTCAATACTGAGCATATTTTACTAATTTAGGATGTACCAATGTGCAGATATAATTTACAACTTCCATTTAGAAATAAGAAAACAGTGACAAACTTTTTGATAAAACAAACTGCTAACAGGACAATAGAAAAAGCAAACCAATATCGGAAATGCTAAAAATCTGAAATCAGATTTGTCAGTCCAATAATATAAGCACTCTTTTATGTCATATAAGTATAAAATAGAAGATGGGGACGAATATTTGACCTGCAGCAAGGTCTCAGGTGATGAAGGGCCATGAGATATCGGTTTTGATTTTCGTCCATCAAGCTCATAAAGTTCACCTGTTGCATGCCAAAACAAATTACATATTTGTTAGCCAACAGATAACTACTGCCAATAATATTTTAGTATTAAAGTAGGCTAGTGTGCTACCTACCATCAACACAGGAGAAACAGACAAAATGTTCATTCACCTCAACGTTTACCTGCACAAGGAAGACAATTGGTAAAAGGCGCACATTCCAACCTCAAATTTGAGGATAGCTTTGATATGGTTGTATTTCCTACCATCACTATTTTAGACAAGGCAAATCGCCCTAAAGGCCCATTTAAACTTATTTTTCCATAACTGAAGTGTGGTACTATCATAATGTAATTGGTTATTCCTTGCAAAGCCGAGTATATTTAGTGGACAATCAATAAGAATGGGATGAGAGTGGTTACGTCAGTGTCACCAGCAGTAGCAGCAACAGCATGAGCACCCTCCATCTCATCATCCTCCTCGAGAAAGACAGCACGCTAAAGATAGCAAACATGTTGTGCATGAGGATAATACATAAGTTCATTACGGAGATATCAATGAATTTATCTATTTCCAGATACTAACCTGAACTGGATCCATGTCAGCTGTTTGTTTATAAAACCTATCAAAATAAGATCCCTCAACTGCAAAGAAGAAAGGAGTCAATAAATCTTGTGAAATGCATATATATTAGCAGATGCGTTTAATGTGCTAGAAAGTTAGATCAGGATATGAACTATTGAGTTGGGTATATGCTGAAAATCATGTGAAATAGTCATAAAACTCATTACTCCCTCCGATCGATATTACTTGTCGCTGAAATTGATGTATCTAGACATATTTCAGTGCTAGATACATCCGTTTGAGCGACAAGTAATATGGATCGGAGGGAGTACTATTTCTTCTTTTACATTTGCTGATCATCTACTCTCAATTCTCAACACAGTCAAGCCACTTTCACTACATCCTATGTAACTTTTTGCCCATTTTAGTAAAAGCAGCAAAACAGGGGATGCTTTGAAGTTCAAAAACCAGGTGCAACTAATTTATATTATGACCAAACCAAGCAGAGTGTTGGATGTTTGCCATATTGTTTGGGAATACTTGAAAAAATATTGAATCACTGAGAAAGCATAACTTGATTAAAGTTTTTCTGTCTATTGGATTGTTGCTAACTGGCAGCTTTCCTTCTGTGCAATAGTAGCCCATAGAATGCAGCGCATTATCTAAGTGTAATGAAAAGTCGCAACAATTACCCAGCTTGATGTCGGATGCAGCATTCCCTATTGCATGAATAACACCAACTGTTCCACAAGCGTTGCCAACAGTCTGTTTTGTAAAGTACACCTTCTTGCTTGAATCCTACATACCAAGTTAAAGTTATTGGATTAGAAAGGTAAACCTTATCTGCATACACCCCACCACTTGATAATATTTTTCCCGCCAAAACAGATCTCAATATTTGAACATGTGCTCAAGTTCCAGTGACCTGCAAACTAATGTGCAGTTTGACATCATGCACAAGTGAAATAAAAGAGAATTTGGATCTATCTACTGTTTACTGGCACTCTCAACATGCAGGATAGATCAAGAAAATAATACAGGCAAGACCCTATAAAGAGGAATCAAGGGTGAAACATTGTTTACTGAATAACACGCTGAAAAATGCAATATAGACAGGGTATCAAAAAGCCTCCGGTGACGTGAAATATGATTGGCAGAATAAAGGCTTGATTTGTTGTTGCTGAACTGTTATGTGTTGTGCTTATTTAACAATCCGTTGTAGAAAATTAGCCACAAAAGCAGACAAAAGAGGGTCAAACAGACACTAAAATAAGTAAAACCACAAAGCGAGACAAAAAGATAATGGTAATCCACAACAATGCCAAACATGGCCAAGATCTGTTGTGTTTGATTATGCATTCTCTCTCTGAAGGCTATGGTGCAAAACTAAGCGACAGTACACACAGGTGACCAACATAGCAATCATTGTAGCTTGGATAAATGTCATGCCACACTTCGTATATGTGGTAAGTTGGCAAGTTACCAAATATTAGTAAGGCACAATGCACACAGGCTCAAAAGAATAATATCCTTATCCTAATCTGTTGTAGGCTTGTAGCACATCTAACTCGAGTATGGCAAACAAAGTGTTTTCAACCTAAAATGCCTATAATTTATGTGATTGCAGAATAACTAGGATAATGGCTTGATTAAATTGTAAAGTCAAGATATACATTATACGACTCAGAACAATAGTCCGTATGGTTGCACTCAAAGAATTTATAATTCAACCCGTAACAAAAACTAAGCACTCAGTTCCACCCAAAATAATCTCTAAAGCAGGCCACTTATGCTTTGGTTGAGCACACATGATCCAGATTTCAGATTACAGATTTCATTGTCATACACTTATACCTGTAATATCAACAACAGAATAATGTGCCAGACTGTGGGTAGAGGGAAAGATCACAACTCAACAAGGAAAAAAAATCATAAACAACAACTGTTTGGTAAAATAGAAACAATAATTACCAAGATCAACATTTTTCTGGACCTCTGCAACAGTACAACATAAAAGAAGAAGGCATTGTCATGATGTTGTTGTAACACGACATTGTACAAGAAACATTCGCACCGCGGAACCAAGACTCTATTTCAGACAGCAGAGGTATAATAACCCCACAGAGATATTTAACCAAAAAAAGCAAAAATATAATGTCCCCGCTTTCTGTGAAAAACACCTGGTTAACAAAAGACCCTACCTCAAAGTTGGAAGGTATGCTAGCAAGACAGTTAAATTAGACCTTCTCTACCTAGGCACCGATCTAGGGTTAAAGGAGCACAACGTTGCTGAAGCATTCAGTCGAACACAGAAGGTGCGCTACGGAGGAACAAAAAGTAAACAGAACAACACGGCCGTACCTTGCCCCCTGCCGTCGAGGTGGCAGAAGCATCGTATTCCTCCACCTTCTCATCCTGCTCGCCCCGGAAAGCAACAAACCCATCACAATTCCGCATCGCATAATCGAAAGCGAAGAAGGCCTCTCGAGGGAGATCACGGGGAATTTTACCAGGGAGGTGAGCGGGTAGAGGAAGATGACGGCGAGGACGGGCTGGGGCACCATGGCGAGCAGCTCGTCGTCGAGGCCGTAGACGTCGCAGAACTGCGCCTCCCCCTCGGTGACTCCCAGTCCCCAGATGAACTGCAGGCATCGGCGCCAACACGCGGCGGAAGCGCCGTCTGTGAGCGAGAGCGCGCCCGAGACGAAAAGGAAGCAAAACCCTAGCACCGGGGGTGGGGGGAGGGGGGAGGAGGCCGTGCTCACCTGGTTCATGACGTCGGGGTTGGCCTCGAGCGGGATCCATCGCTTCCCCATCTTCTCTCGGCGCGCGTAGGAAGAAAGAGGAGAGGCCGGGCGGCGCGTGGGCAGATTGGTGTGCGCTGCGCGGCGAAGCGGGGGCGCAGGTGGCGTGTGTTGACTGTGGTACAGCAGCAAACTTCCTTGGGAGTCCGAGCAGATTTTTTTTCAAAACTGTGATGGTTTTTATAGCAAATTCAGAATCTATATGTCCTCACACAAGAAAATCAAAACTAGCACCGTGTCGGCCTCCAGTGGGCCGAAGAGGGGCTCTTCGGCCTGCGGGTTGACCGAAGTGGGCTCTTCAGCCTCCCGTTGGCTGAAGAGTACCCCAACTGGACCGAAGAGTACTCTTTGGTCTACCGTTGGCCGAAGAGTGCTCTTTGGTCATCCGTAGGTCGAAGAGTATTCTTTGGGGCCCAAGGCCTAGCATGGGCAAAAGAGCGCAGCCATGCAGCTTCGGCCTCCTGTTAATGCGAAAAGTTGGGGCCCGAGGACTCTTCGGCCTACGGTTGACCAAAGAGTGCTCTTCGGCCTACGGTAGACCAAAGAGTCCTTTTCAACCCAGTTGGGGCACTCTTCGGCCAACTGGAGGCTGGAGAGCCCACTTCGGTCAACCGCAGGCCGAAGAGCCCCTCTTCGGCCAACTGGAGGCCGATGGGGTGCTACTTTTGATTTTGGTGCGTGAGAACGTATAGATTCCGAATTTGCTATAAAAATCATCACAGTTTTGAAAAAAAATCGTCCGAGCAGCTCTACTCGTGGGCGGTGGATGTTAGACTCTATATACGTAGCCTTTGTATATCTGTACTGTAACATTGTATTGTACCTCTTGGATACCTCTATATAATGAGATAGCCACACCTCAGGTTAGGGGTGTCAAGCAGTTCCCAAATTATATGTTTAACATGGTATCAGTTTAGGTTACGATGTCTTCCGCTGCCGCCGCCGTCGCACCGATCTTGGCTCCTCCCGCCGCCGCCGCGGTGCCGGCTCTCGCTACTGCCTCGCCGTTTCTTGCCTCGCAGCCTCTCGCGATGGCCCATGGTGCCTCGTCATCGCCTCGCTCCTCGATCGGATCGGGAGACCGCGGTGCCACCCCGATCAGTGCTCCCTCTGACGTTGCTCCTCCTGCGGGCGGCCTTTCCGCGACCCATGGTGGGCCGCCGCCGTCGTCGTCTTGGCCGGCGCTGCCCCAACCCTATGGCACGTCGCCCCTGCAGCAGCCCTACGGCGTCCCGCCACCTCACTCCTACTACGGCGCGCCGCCGCCGCAACCCTACTCGGCGCTCGCGCCGCCTCAACCCTACCTGGCATCTTCCCCGCACCCGCATGGACCTGCGGCTGCATCGCCGCCCACGGCTTCGGTCGCGGCCGACCACGGCGCCCTCGCGGCACCCTACCACGGTGCCCCTGTGACACCCTACGGCGCCCCCGCGACACACTATGGTGCTCCCAGGGCGGCGTCCCCCGGCTCCTACCCGTCCTACCCGGTGTATCCCGTGCATCCTGGGGTGGCCTCGTCGATGGGCCTGTATGCATCGCCGCATGCCCATGTTGATTTGGCCACGGTGCCTGCGCCGTTCTACTTCTCGCATCTGCTGCCGGTGAAGCTCGCGCCGGACAACTACCTGTCCTGGCGTGCCTAGGTGCTCCCTCTTCTGCGGAGTCGCTATCTGGAGGGCTACTTTGACGGATCCATCCCGTGTCCGCCCCCTCATCACCCGGCGTACCACACCTGGGTGGCTCAGGATCAGACCATCCTCTCCGCCATCCAGTCCTCGCTCACCCCGAGCGTCTCGTCGCTGGTCATCTTCGCTGCTATGTCCCGGGAGGCGTGGGCGGCGCTTCACACCAGTTTTGCCTTTCAGTCTCAGGCGCGTGCTCACTCTATACGCACCGAGCTGGGTGAGACGAAGCTTGGTGACCTCAGCATCACCGACTACTTCAACAAGATGCGGGGTCTCGCCGACACGTTGGCCTCGGTTGGCCAGTCGCTGCAGGATGAGGAGTTCAACACCTTCGTGCTTAATGGGCTTGATGATGATCATGACAATCTCATCGAGAATGTTCATGGCCGTGATGACCCGCTTCCACCTCGTGAGCTCTATGCGCGTCTGCTTGGCCGTGAGCAGCGCATTAAGGCGCGCCGCGCCTCCCCCAGTTTCGCCTCCGCCAATGCCGTAACTCGTGGCAAGTCCCAACGGTCATCATCTTCAGGAGGCAGACCGGCGCTGCCTTCACAACCGGCCTCGCGGGGCAGTGCTCCGACCATCACAGGTGGTAACCGGCCGGTGGCGTGTTGTTCTTCTTGTGGTGCCCAACAGGCCTGCCAGTTATGTGGTCTTGAACGCCACATTGCCTCTCGCTGCCATCGTCACTACAAACAAGATTTCTGGGCCTCGGCAACAACGGCAAAGGGAACGACGAGCAAGCCGCCGCTGCCGTGACGAGTCATGATCATGGCCGTACTCCGTCTTACTCTGTTGATCCTACATGGTACATGGACACTGGAGCTACCAACCACCTCACCGGTGAGATGGGTAAGCTCTCCACTCAGGAGCCATACCGTGGTCATGATCAGGTGCACACCGCGAATGGAGCAGGTATGCGCATCTCCCATGTTGGTCAGGCCTCTCTCCTTGCACACAACTTTCGCACATTACATCTCTCTAATGTCCTTCGTGTTCCTTCTGCTACGCGTAGTCTCTTGTCTATTCCTCAACTTACTCGTGATAATAATGTCCTTGCTGAGTTTCACCCTTTTCGTTTCTTTATCAAGGATCGGGACACGAGGGTCGTTTTGCTTAGCGGTCGTCTTCGCCATGGCCTGTATGCACTTGATGTGCCATGCCCACCTTCCATGTCGTCCTCTCCTCAGGTGTTCAGTGGTGTTCGTGTGTCGCCTACACATTGGCATGCGCGCCTTGGTCACCTGGCGGCTCCCATAGTTCGACATGTTTTGCATCATCATGATCTTCCAGTTGTGTCCAATAAAACTGCTGAAACTATTTTGTGATTCCTGTCAGCTGGGCAAGAGTCATCAACTTGCTTTTTCAGAGTCTATTCGTGTTGTGAAACATCCTCTTGAGCTTGTGTTTTCTGATGTATGGGGTCATGCCCAGACATCCGTTAGTGGTCACAATTATTATGTCAGTTTCATTGATGCTTACAGCCGTTTTACTTGGTTATATCTTATTAAACGTAAGTCTGACGTGTTCGATGTCTTCATTCAGTTTCAAGCACACGTTGAGTGTCTTCTTAAGCAGAAAATCATCCATGTCCGATCCGACTGGGGGGTGAATACCACAACCTCCACTCGTTTTTTAACAAACTTGGGATTTCACACCGCGTGTCATGTTCTCGTACACATCAGCAGAATGGTACTGCCGAGCGTAAGCATCGCCATCTTGTTAAAACTGGTCTAACCTTGCTCGCTCATGCCTCCGTCCTGTTTCGGTTCTGGAGTGATGCCTTCTCCACAGCTTGTTTTCTCATAAACAGGCTTCCCTCGAGACTTCTGAAAATGCAAACCCCTCTTGAACTTCTGCTTAATGAGATTCCAGACTACACTTTTTTCAAAGTGTTCGGTTGTGCATGTTGGCCTCACTTGCGTCCTTACAACAAGCGCAAGCTAGAGTTTTGGTCTAAGAAGTGTGTTTTTCTTGGGTATAGTTCTCTTCACAAAGGGTACAAGTGCTTGCATATTCCTACCAACCGCGTCTACATCTCTCGTGACATAGTGTTTGATGAAAATGTTTTCCCTTTTCGTGCACTTCCGACTAACCCTACCACTTCTACACCACCGATGTCTATGTCCACACCTACGCCTGGTCAATTTGTGGATGTTGCATATGCCCCTTCGTTGCTCCCTAATCATGCTGCAGGTATTGGACGTGGTGCTCGGCTCGAGCTACTTGATGAACAGGTCACCGATGAGCTTCCTGGTCGGGATGTGCATGTGCCATGCATGACGGGCGGCACCCGCCAACCCGTCATCGTCTCGCCTGCTTCACGGGCGCCAGATCAGCCTGGCTCCACGCTGGCCCCACGGGCGCTGGGCTCGCCAGCGCTAGCCTCGCCTAGCTCGCTTGCCTCGTTGGCACCAGTGGCCTCGCCAGCGCCCGCTTCGCCCGGCGCAGGCCTCGCCAGCGCCAGCCTCACGTGGCTCGCCCGGGCCACTGGCGGGTCTCTCGCCTGGGCCGGCTACTGCTGCCGCCAGCCCGGAGGCCCCGTCACCTGCTTCGGCCCGGTCCACCTCGGCGCTAGGGTCACCGACCAGCCCTGCCTCGGTCACCGGCGTGCCTGACCCATCCGACTCGGTGCTGGCCTCGTCAACATCCTCGGCTGCATCGACTTTGCCAGTTGAACCTGCTGTCACTCTTCGTCCTCGCACACGGAGCCAGTCTGGTGTCTTTCGTCCCAAGAAGCGGACGGATGGCACGGTTGCGTGGCTTGCGGCGTGCATGGCTCACACTGCTGGCGATCCCACTGCAGAGCCTCATCACTTTCAGGCTGCACTGAGTATTCCTCATTGGCGTGCTGCAATGGAACAAGAGTTTCAGGCCCTCCAACAGAATGATACATGGCGTCTTGTTCCTCCAGTGTCTGGTGTCAACGTCATTGATTCCAAGTGGGTTTTCAAAGTCAAGAGACATGTTGATGGCTCCATTGAACGCTACAAGGCACGGTTAGTTGCAAAGGGCTTCAAACAGAGGTATGGTCTTGATTATGAAGACACTTTCAGTTCCGTCATCAAGCCTACTACCGTTCGATTACTATGTCTCTTGCGGTTACTCAGGGATGGTTCCTTCGTCAGCTTTATGTGCAGAACGCTTTTCTACATGGCATTCTGGAGGAGGAGGTTTATATGCGTCAGCCACCTGGTTTTGTTGATCCGACACGACCTCATCATCTCTGTCGTCTGGTTAAGGCATTGTATGGGCTCAAACAGGCTCCTCGTGCATGGCATGCTCGCCTTGGATCTGTTCTTCAGGCTCTTGGGTTTACTCCCTCCA